CCCTCCAGAATACCCATCACACGCAAATTATTCCTCCGCGATCTGCCCTCAAGATCCTCACATTTGTCATCCAAGCGTTTCACTTGTGAAGTTAGCATGTCAACTGTAGCTTCCAGCTTGTCTATCCGAGTGTTGTGGTCAGTGGCAGCTTGCTCCAGATCTCGGATCGTGGCTTCGTGTGCTTAAATTGACAACCATGAATGCTCACTGTAGGCTACTTATACTTATGAGGTATTTGCACTTTAGTGTTTGCACTAAATTACTCCATTAGATTTCAGAGGGATATAGTGTACTGCTAGGGGAACATTATGCATAATAGATATGCATGAGTTATTGACTTTTAATTGTAATAGAGTATTAGAACACAGGTGATTTCAGTTTTATTAACTTACATTTATCAATGAATCTTATTGATGCAATTGTCCATTTGAATGCCTAATAAATGTTATTTTCACACAATATTATTATTATTTTCCCTTTGGTTGCACGTGCAGAAGGACCAATCGTGTCCTCGGGATATCCTCTGAACTTTCTCTCCTCCTCTCGACAGAAAGGATAAAAAGCTCGTTTCCCTAAAGCACTTGAGGGTAGTTTCCCCCAAAACCGTCACGATGCTGCGTTGTTTACCTTTCTGTTGGAGAAGTTCTCTCTTCTCTTTAACTTCAAACTGTTTGGGTCCAGCTGGTCGGACGGTTAGGACCGGAAAGGTCACGCGCAGCTCGCTCCCCCGCAGCCCCTCCGGAGGAGAGTCCTGCTAGAAGTCCCCAGAACCCTTTTCACAGTGGCCTTCAAGGTATTCAGAGAATACCCTGGAACACTCAGATAAAAATAAAAATAAATCGATTTAATTATATAAATAAAATGTAATAAAATGTAGGCTATATACAATGAATAAATGAGAATCGTATCTCTGTTGTTGATCTGTAATATTACAGTGTTACGTTGATTTGTTTGTCCTTCTCGGACCATGCACTACGCATTTCAGTGGGTTTGTGTTAGAAAAGAAAGCAACCAATCAGATCTTGTTCTGGGTCTCTGGGTAGAATATCCTTCAACCAAGGTATTCTATATCCTTGATCGAATGCCCTGGCCGTTGCACTAAATGAGAGCGTTTGGACTGACAGTTTGATCAGCCAATCATATATTGATTTGTAGCCAATGGGCGTATTCTTTCAGAGTTTCACTCGGTTCCAGGGTATTCTAGAAGGCCCGCTAGTTAACTGGCTCGAGACAGAGGATTCTAGATGAATGCGACGAAGCAATTCATGCAGTTTTATTGTTTTTAACGTTGAAATGACAAGTGCAACAGGTGAAGATGAAGTTGTTGCGGAATTGTTGTGAGTACCCTTTTCAAGACGACAATTCAGTGAGAAGACGGACATTATAATGCCGCGGATGGGGGGCGGGGCTACGGGAGGTGTGTGTGTCTACAGAAGGTCCAGTTGTGATAGACACGGTTCGCCACTGCCTTTTCACCCACTTCGGCAGTTATCTAGGCGACAATAAAGTGGCTCACCTGATCCCCGACATCCTACCTGTGCTCACACTCGACCGGAAGCTCATTGGTTCTGTCATTACAAACACGAGACTGATCTTCGGCGTCATCTGCGCCACGGTGCGCGTTGACACTTTAGAGGACTTTGCATATGGCTCCAACATACTGGTTAACCCCATGGATACATTCATGAAGGAACAAGCATTGGCCAATGAAGATGTTGCTAAGAGAGCTGAAAAACACATCGGAGCCTCACTATAACTGTGAACACTTTGTGACCGATTGCAGATATGGATGTGCAGCCAGCCTGCAAACAGATACGGTTGGTATAGTCCTAAACGCTTTTCTGACAATGGGTGCAGAATTAAATGTCTATGTTAATTGTTGTTTTGGTTATTGGTCATTCAAATTATGCCATGTATATTATACTTTAAAAACGTATTTTTTTCTGGTGTTAGGAGAAGCTGTCTCCATTCGCAGTTCATCTTGTAGGCTACTTACAGTGCTGCACATTCAGAAATAGCCAAATCAGATTATTCAAACCAACCAACACTGAGTATACTTGGCATGATAGAGCCTCTTGCACTTCAATGCCACGTGGCTGCTCAGATTTGAGAAGTTGGCATCCTTCTGAATTAACCTTCACAACTGTTCACAGTAATATGGTTTTTTTCCAGGTATCACTCAATCAGAAAGGTTCTGTAGGGCATACAATGCAATTCAAAATAGTGTATAAACAACATTAAATAATTAACTATATTTCTTTTTTTATAGTTCTGCGAATGCTTGAAATCAATCATCAGAGACCAGCGCAGTGTGCTGTCACAGGCCTCCTGGGAATTGTGTCCATTATCTGCTACGGCATGGCACCATCAACAACATTACCCACAATCCTCATTCCCTTAACTCTGTGGATGGCTGGTTGAAGAAGTGCATAGAAGGAACCTACAAACAATCAAACACACAAACTGAGCTTCTACTTGGCAAGGAGTGACCTGAAACCTCCTCAAGACTGTGCCCTTCTGTCTTATGGAGTTAAAACTATACATGTCATGACCTTTGAGTAGACAATGTTTAATGTTTTGTTTTTGTACCTACATGCAAATAATAGTCTCCTATGTGACTTACATTGGTCCTCTCATAAAAGTGTTGGGAAAAATATACTTATAAAAGAATACAGATGTGATTCACTTTTGCTAACATTACAGTCAACACATTGACTTTAACTAAGTGTATTTTGTCAACAGCTTACCAGGAGCAGCGCCAGGGGGGAGCTAGGGGGTGCTGAAGCACCCCCCAGGATTGCCAAAGCACCCCCTAAGCACCCCCAAGAAATGTGTTTTATTTTTTTTCGAAAATAATAATAATAATTGTTATTAAATTAAATTAGAAATATTATTGATTACATCAATGCAAATGTGAAACAAACACATTTTTGACCAAAAACATAAAGCCAACACAGGTGATATGATTAGGCCAATGGCCAGCACCGATTCGATTTTTTACCTACCCATAGGCTAAATGACTTTGTGACACTTGAGTGACTTCCTGTTAGCTAGAGCGCCAACTTATTTGCTAACAGCAAAGTGAAAAATTGATCGTTTTTTAGTCCTTAAACGTCCACGTGTGGACACTCAATCAAAACCACCTGAAAGCGAGAGGGATTCTGCACATAATAGCATAGCCTCGTGAGTACAAGTAGCTTACTTCTGGGTCTCTGTGTTTCATTCAAGCTCTGCTCTGTGTGTGTGTGGCACGAGCCATTTTGTGTGCGTGCGCGAGCGAGAGAGCTCACGCACCGGTGGGTAGGCCTATCTACTGGAGATCGTTGTGGTTAGCATCTGGTGCTAGCTAGCCAAGCTAACGGATATAAGGAGCTTTTTCAACAACAAGGTGGAGGGAGAACTCTCTCCTGTCAGACTGAGAGTCTCAGATAACCTCAGCTCAGGTGAAGTAAAGGACTCTCAGTGTTTAGATAGTTATATTTAGTCTAGTTATCTCAGTGGGTCTCAAACGGTTTGTTTTAAAAGGGGAGTTGTGAAATATCTATAAAGAAATAGAAAATCTGTTTACAGTTCTGTTTCATCTGGGGGTTGAGAGATGTATCCATAGATCTCTTCACGTTGCTCTCAAAGTGCACCAGATTGATGCTTTTAACTTCAATATTTAAAAAAAAACCTTCCCGGGGAAGCATGCCCCCGGACCCCATTAGAGGAGGTGAGGTCCCTCCTAGTAGACGTGAGGTCCACTCCCCACTTGTAAAAATAGCACTTTAGCCCTGCTTACACCTATATGCCGTGAGCTGATTATCGAGCCTTCATTGTAACAGTTGCGGGTACACTGTGTGTGTGTGTGGGGAGTGTTGCAGTAGAAAATTCAACTGTAGCACTGGTAATGTTTGAGCACCCTCTATGAAACGTCAAGCTACCCCACTGCACCCCCTAGAGTTAATCTCTGGTGCCCACTGCAGTTTACACATAACTTAGAGTGCACACAAAGAATATACAGTGGTACATTGACTACAACAATATCTAAATGTATTGTATGTGGTTGGAATTCTCTTGCAACTAACGTAATATAATTAAATATAAAAATGTTTTATAAACTATTTATTTGTTCTACTTGAGTGAGTGGACGCAGCCTACATCTCAGAACACATGCCAGTGAGAGCAAAGCCATCATATGATATAGTGTTTGTGATATTCAATCATATACTGTAAAAGTTCAAACGGAAGTCCATATACATAGATTCTGCGTTTATTTGCTGAATGTCTGACGTAACAATAGTATTGTTCAATCACAGTTGAGAAGTCTTTGGTTAAATATTGCTAACAATTCTGTGTGGAAAACAATCCAGTCGTACTAGTCATCTTTAACTCCATCTCCAGTCTCACACCTCAAGTTGCAATTATAGTCAATGGGTTCAAAGATTCTGAAACAATAACACAGTTTATGTGTAAATGTATAGTGTAGATGTGCTGCAAAAAGTTACAATAAAAGTTACAATAAACACATCAAAAGTAATGCACCTAATGCTATATACAACACCTATACCTTTGTATTTTACTATATATTTTATTTTATATTAAGTTTCTTTTTTTATTTAAATCCTACACATCACTACTATTTCTATAACTATGTGATTATATATGTTTTCTAAATGTCTAAAAAGTGCTGAATAACGATGAAACAAATGATAAGGGATGTCTAGTCAACGAAACAATGGTTGTTATTTTTTGGTTGGATTTCTCTCAGTAACCTTCAAATTAAAGATTTAACTTGTTGCCAATTCAGCCTCCTTAATGAGGACCCCTGACCTTAATACAACAAAGCCTGAGTTTCAAAATCCAACCACACAGCAAAGTGATTAGAGAAAGCTCCTTTATTTCTGTCAAAATCTTACTGAGACATTGACCAATATCTAAATCCTATTAACCGCTCTAGCCCCTCCCAATTCCCTCTAAAATAAAAACGGGTTTCGAGCTCTTTACCACACACTGCCATCATGTTTCTTTACCAACTACTCAACATTTTCTACGTAGCTTCCCAAAAGGAGGAGGAATCTAAAAATGATTCGTCCCGTTACAAGCGTGGTGATTTACTGGAAGTCCCCAGGACATTATTTACACATTTTGGTATCTACTTGGGTGACAATCGTGTGGCTCATCTCATCCCGGACATCCTTCCTGTGTTTACCAAGAATACATCTGCAATTTCAACGATGGTATCAAATAACCGCTTGGTGTTGGGAGTCATCGCTAAGGTTGCCAGCGTCAGAGTGGACTCCTTGGCTGATTTTGCGTACGGTTCGGAGATCCTGGTCAACCACATGGACAAGTTATGCAGCCAGCCTCCTTTGGACGGGGACGAGGTAGCGAGAAGGGCAGAGAAACTCCTGGGCAAGGTCAACTACAGCCTACTGTGGTACAACTGTGAACACTACGTCATGTACTGCAGATACGGCATGTCCATCAGCTACCAGACATACCAGGTACAGTCTGACTCTGAGCACCTGTCAGTAGAAAGTAATATTTCCATATTAGCTGTAAAAACGATATGCCTTTCTAACGAAACCCACATTCCACAGGCTAGGAAAAATGCTTGATTTGAACCAAAGCAAGAGGCTTTAACAGGAAAACTGTTTCTCATAAGTAGGTATTTTCCAGTTTCCAAGTTGTTTTCCTTTGACAAACCTTCTTTCCTGAGCTACAGTGTAAGGACATTAACATAGTTAATAACTTTGGAAGACAGCCATTGTTTTCCCCCCAAGTCAGAATGCTGAATGTATTGTATTCAAAATCAATTTTTGAATAGGACCAGGACTGGAAAGTGTGTTTCCCCTCATTTAAATTTGATCAGCATTAGTGAGGAATCTCCTTCCATCTGATATTATTGGAATATTCTATGAAGTATGGTTTACAAACTGTCTTCTACTAAATAGATGAGAAAACATTCTGACTATTTGTCATTGTTGAACAACTTCTTTCCATTATTCTTTTGAGAAATGATTTCGCTTCTTAACCTACCATCCAGTAATCTGACTTCTTTACAGGTATTACTGTGTTTGCACCCTGAGATTGTTGTATGAGAAAGGTCACATGCAAAAGCTAAAGGTTTAAAGTCAACTGCATTTGCATGTCAGTTGTTTTCCTGTGAAAAACAATGTAAGCTGAAACACACTTACTAACATGAGGATATTTCAACAGCAGAGTTGTTTCCCTCTGTCCACTGAAGTAAAAATATACTTTACTTATTCACGAGGAGAGTAGCTCCATCTAGTGTTACTTTGTGCCTAAATGACATGTACTGCCAAGCTAATTTGAGATTTACTTAGCTTCAGATCACTAATTCTCACACTGTTTCTTGTAGTTCTGCACAGCAGTACGGAAGATTGTTTGCAGCAGGAAGAGCTCCTATCTGACTGCACTGTGTGGTGTAGCAGTCCCGCTGTATCTGGGCTGTGTGACGCTGCTCACGGTTTTACCCACGCTGCTCGTCTCCTTCACCATCTGGATGGCAGCCTGACGTTATCTGGTGAGACGGCCCTCATGAGAAAGACTAATGCAGCGCACTGGTGGGAGTTGAAATGAAGTCCTGCTGTTGAGCCGAAAAGACATTGGGAAAAAAAAGTGTCAACTGTAATAGAAATGTCAGAATTCTACTTTTTACCTTATTTTAACTGAAGTTGTATTTGTCTTTTCCTTGATAGTTTGCTGTCGTGACCGAACCTTTTGTGTTAGATGTCTAAATTAATACATTATTCATCACTAATGTTCACCAGGCTCCGGTGTTCAGCATTTATCTTAATTAACAGTAACAGCTCGTAGATTATAGTTTGACGTTGACTCATAACTCCGGAAGACTGAGATAAAAATCAACAGTAATCTGGAAAGGAGAAAGTGACCTATGGGAACATGATGGTGTCTGCAGATGGAAGAGTTGCTATGAATGCTGTAATGAATGTTTTTAAATTGTGATACTAAACATATTTCATGCTCTTGCTAAAAGGTTTACTTGGACAAAGTGCAATATGTTTCTTCTTAATGTATTTTCAATATATTGCAAGGATGAATGTCATATTTGTTGGTTATTCAGCATGTATTTCTACTTTCTCTGATTTTCATGATTGTACAAAACTACAAATGTTTTTATATTATCTTCTCTGCTGCCATCAGTGTACATTTTATTCCATTATATTTTTGTATTTCTCTGGTTTTATGTGTCTTACTGCAGTGTTGAAATGTATTAGTCACAGCTCTAAGATGTTAAGCACTTTGTAACCGCATGCATGCTTTAAAAAGAAGTACTGGATAAATAAAGTTTATCTTTACTATTATTACTAAAGTTCCTGGATTGTGCCCATTTACACAGAGCAGTTTAAAAAAAATGAAAGCACAAGAGAACAGACTATACAAATGAATACAGGGCCGGAGATAAAAAAAAGCCATAAACAGTTAAATTAGACGTAAATATTTAGTTCATTACTGCGGAGAATAACTTTATTTCGTCATGGCGACATTCTTTTAGTATTTCCACTGAGATTTAAAAGCCAGCAAGCCAAATAGCCATGTTTACAGATAACAGGAGATACTTAATGGTCAGCACAAATGTTTTATAATTTCTAGAAGATAAATTATTTCAAGAATAAGAGGATTAGTGTTGTAAATCAATAATCTTGCTGCTGTTAAAAGGGATTACATTTCAAATGACTGCCAACAGGACACACTAAGTGACAATCAAGGAGTTTATATTTATAAAAAATAAATGAATCTTTATAAGAGTTTAATGGTTTGGGATCTGTGTGTGCCTTCAAAGCTATTAAGTTAATGTCAGTCGATAAAACAGACATCAAACTGAATGGTTGAAAAATGTACGTTTGGCGAGATCCTTTATGATAGTTTAATTATTTTAAAAAACAGAAATTGGTATGGGAAACCAAGTCCAATGTCATTTATATAAAAGCTTTATTTATATATTTCACATTTGGGTGATCAAATATTTAAAACGTACAGAAACACTTGGTGCAACAGTCCACCTTACACCCTTTTATCTCGCTCAATATACAAACATCTATGCAATTATCTCCAAATGAACTTAATGGAAAAAGATTGATATGATTGTTTCCCAAAGTTACAACATGTTGTAATCCAACAAGATACTCAGATTTATACTCAATACTCATGCATATGTGTTGGTGTTTACACTTACAAAACAATGTTAGAAAGTGAGGTCAAAAAACATTTTGTTCTCTAGCTTGCCGCACAAAAAAAACAAATGTACTAATTGGCTGGTCAATCAGCAATTTAACAACACTATGAAATAATAAAAAATAACGACAGTAAAGACTGGATAAAGCGCTATATAAGAACAGTCCATGAACCATAGGAATATAATGACAGAAATTCAGAGCTTAATTTGAAAACCTAAATAAAAGCTATGAATGCATCTAGACGGCATACGATACAGCCCTGTCTCCAAGATCGCAAGGCAAAACTTTAACAACTCTGAGAGAGCGCACACCAACGTTTTGTGAGCAGGCATATGGAGAACAGAGATGTGGGGTGTCAGATCCATGGAGGAGAGACTGCAAACTGGTTTGTAATTAAGGATTTAAAAATCACTCGTCTCTCTGCTGACTAACGGGGCTCTGCGGGAAGTCATGCTGCTCGACCAGATGCATCTCTAAAGGCACAGTATATAGGGTGCAAACTGTAGACTATTTTTATATCATCCTAGCTGCGATAGATAGTGCTATACTTTGCTAATGTTTCAAGATAAAGGAAATGCACCCAACGGCAAAAATCATCCTTGATCACAGGAAGTACATCATTTTCCCCCCATACACGTTCACCTGTAATAAAGTTTTATTGAAGTTTCACACTTCAGTAACTAAGCCGTAACCATGTCAACCTAAAATATATGTGAGATTATTATTGTGTGCTACTATTCTTACCTATTCACATGCATTTGGTTTTTAACAAGTTCTCAACCTAAGCTCAGATGAATCAAATGAACACCAGCACTTTTTCTGTCAAACTTTGTATATACACACACACCTGCTGGACCTTCAGGATAGTAAATTGTATAAAGTCACTGAGGTCAAACAGCACCAGTGCTAATGATGGATAATTGATTTTCCATTACACTTAGGCACAGATCCTGCTGAGAAGCACTATGTATTGATTCAAGAGAGGCCGATGTAATGGCTCAAGCCCCCGAGTTCTATTAAGCGGTGTGCAGGTGCAAGAGTCCCCGCTGAGATTGAAGAGTAACCGAGTTTTGTCTCCTCTAACATTGACGGCTTTTAGCTTTTAGCCTGGATTCACTGAGGGAAATCTGATTTTCATATCTTTATTCCCACATGATGTCAAGGGCCTCCTTAATTTAGCTTCCAATAAATACATCAAACATGGATCACATGGCTGCTTTAGAAATCAAGTTTCTGTAAAAATAGAGTAGGATGCATCTATAGCGAGAGCACACATACACAGTCTGTCTCTAGGAAGCATAAACATGGTTACAGTCCATCCATTCATACAGCAAGGGGCCATTACAGGGCAGTGATGCCACTAATGCACTCTTAACCCTGATAATTATTGTTGTTATTAAAATATATTGCTTTGGGTTTGCTAGTTAAGCTGAAGTAAATTTCAAATTCATTATTTTCAACAGTTTTTTCACCCATGACACAGCCTTGCGGGATATTACAGACCAAACATTTAAACTGTGAAATGGTTTCCACACCACTGAAAGCTACACTGCTAAAAAAACTCAAACGTTTACTTTAATTAAATGTATTATGTCAACAGATTTCACATAACGCGGATACAAGCGGTCGAGATGGGTTTTCTCCGCAGGGTGGCTGGTGTCTCCCTTAGGGATAAGGTGAGAAGTTCGGTCATCCGGGAGGGACTCGGAGTTGAGCCGCTCCTCCTTCGCGTCGAAAGGAGCCAGTTGAGGTGGTTCGGGCACCTAGTTAGGATGCCACCTGGGCGCCTCCCTAGGGAGGTGTTCCAGGCACGTCCAGCTGGGAAGAGACCAAGGGGTAGACCTGACCAGGTGGAGGGATTATATCTCTTCGCTGGCCTGGGAGCGCCTTGGGATCCCCCAGTCAGAGCTGGTTGATGTCGCCAGGGAAAAGAAAGTTTGGGGCTCTCTGCTGGAACTGCTACCCCCGCGACCCGACCACGAATAAGCAGGAGAAGATGGATGGATGGATTTCACATAACTGTATTAGGTTAGTTAAAAGCAATAATATTAAGTTTAAATACAACATATTAGGTTCAACTTAACATTATTGCTTTCAACTAACCTAATACAGTTACGTGAAATTTGTTGACATAATACATTTAATTAAAGCCAACGTTTCTGTTTGTTCAGTGTACACCGAAAAAGAATAGCAATACTATTAAAGTGCACCTATCATGCTATTTTTAGGCATATATTATAGGTCTCAGATATACAAAAAAACATGTCTATGATGTGTTTTTCTCAAAATACAAACAGATCATGCATTTTAGACATCCCTTATATTATATCCCTCTTCCAGCCCTGTTAGAGAAACGCGGATTTTGGGTTCTTAGCTTGAAAAAGAAAAAAAAGAGGAGACTGAGCTAATGCCTGATCAGAATTCTACCGGAGATAAAGTTACATTCTGCTGTGATAAAACGCCATCATGTTCTAAACCACATCAAGGATTATTTCTGAAACATGTATGGAGCTCAAATGCTTTTTCTCTTGCGGGTTTATCCCAAGGTGAGTTCCTTTTTTATTTCCTGCTTTTTAAAAACATGTGCTCTCCAGTACAGGTTAGCTCTGAGTGTTAGCGATGCTTGATAATGTAAAAAAATACCATATTACGTCCAAAACGCGTCAGGCATTGTTTCTGATAGCAACTCTCTGTGGGTCCACCATCCAAAATTACGTAATATCGCAACACACTCTCACTCCCTAAGCGTCCAGGAGTGACGCTTGGTCAGGGTCCCGTGGCGTCCATTTGGGACGTGCCGAGGCTCCTTCAGCTTCATAAACGGACGCAAAGAGCTTTCAACTGATTGCAATGTATTCCCATCGGCGACGGTATTTGACGCTTAGGGAAGCACATCCATTTATGTCGGCATTTATGTTGGCTTAAAGGCAATGTGAGCGTCCATTCCCATTGGATAACGGAGAATTGTACACACGGAAGTAAGTATTCTCCTTACTGTCGATTGATTTGACAGTGATATCTCCACTACTCATCAACTCAAAAACACCAGATTACCTTTGTTAATTACACAACATTGATAGGTTTAAATTGTGTACAATGCTTTTGTATTTTTCCCCTTCAATTCTGAGAAACAACTTGTTTTCTCTTAAATGTGGAGCGCCAAAGATACTACACTACCCACAATCCCCAGCTATTGCTGTGAAGACGCCTGTCCCAGAGCCTATCTCTCTAGGGCTCTGGCCTGTCCGCTTTGACAAACCTTGTGATAAGTCAACAAGCTCTGTGATTGGATGAAACATAAATTCATACAAAAAAAGTGACGTAGATTTTACTCTCATCTATTATTCAAAACCATTCTATTTATTCTAACGTAAATTACATGCCAGTGTTTTATCTTTTTATTACTTATATTTGTATACTTTATTTGCTATGAGTTATATCTGAAGCAAATTATGTTTCTGAAGGTGTGTAGTCAATTCCACCCTTCAATGCAGCATAAATGTGAACTCTCATTACAGGAACAATACCGGAAACAGACGTAGGAAAGATCCTTAGCTCGCTGATTGGATGTTTTAGCCGCAATCATAGACTGTATATATAAATGGGCGTAGGGTCCGTGACGTCACCCATA